CAGCATTTTCTTATGCAGTATTTTCTTGACACCATAGAGTGATGTGAAGAGGACCAGGTGACACATTTAGTGGGTACACTGTAGCAGAGCAGACTAAAGGGAGACCAAAATTTTATACAACAGGAAGTAAGATGTCTCTTTGCTTGGTAAGGATATATTATTCTCCTAAAACTATTCTGAATATGCTTCAAAAAATAGCCCATAACTAAGGCAATATATTAGTTTCTGTGGTTACAGTGAAGGTAGAGGCTTGAAACGGTGAAGATTTATTAGGTTATGGTGCTGAAATTCAGAAACTTAAAATGGATCTTAAAAAGACTAAAATCAAAGGCTATGTACCTTCTGGAAGATTTAGGGGAGAATTCATTCCTTGCTTTTTTCAGCTTCTAGAAGTTGCCATATTCTTTGCTCCGCAGCCACATCTTTGAAAACTCTAATTCTATTGTTATTTTCCCTCTCATTCTTTGCTTGCTTCTTTCCTTTTTTTTTTTTAACAACAACAACAAAAAAAAACACACTTTATTTATGAGAAGTAACACTACTTGAGAATCGAAACCTGCATGAAAGAAAGAGAGAAGCAGGAAGGAAGGGAAGAGGTATTGTAAATGAGGAGTGGGTTTCCTTTGTTATCTGGAAACTGAGGATAGTGAAGATATAGGATGCTCCACACGCAAATCAGAAGCAGCAGCACCACAAAGCTAGAATGATCTAGTCCAGCGGTGCGCTGAGCAGCGAGTGGCACCACAATCCCTGCTCCTCCAATGCCGCTGCTGTGGGTGCTGAGCCCTGTGCTTCCGCTTTCCCATGGAAATGCTTCGGGCGGAGCAGTCTGCACCTCTCCCCAAGCCACTGTGGATTCTAGCTTCCCTCCCACCTCTGGAGAAAGCCATCGTTTGTTCTAGGATGAGGACTACCCGCAAAGCCAGTGGATTCCAAGTGCCATCATTCCTCTGTTACCCACAGCAAACACTGGGCAAGGGCAAGGGCTGCGTCTTTGCTCTTGTGGACCTGGGCCTGGCGCAGTGTCTGTTTCTTTCTTTTATAGAGATTCTTTGTGATAATGTTGGGCCTATTCAGATAATCCAAGAAAATTTCCACATCTCAAGGTCCTAACATCTGCAGAGTCCCTTTTGCTTGTAACATGACATTCAAAAGTTCTATGATTTTGAATGTGAACAACTTGAGCTATTTTTCTGTCTACCATGGACAGTTAGGGACTTTATGCTTAAGATATGCAGTCACAAAAAACCCCTAAGAAGTTAACTTCTCTCTTTGACTACTATCAAACTTTCCTATGAGTATGATATATTACTGATCATTCTGTCTGGGACCAAATTCATTCATTTGTTCTTCACAGACTAATAAAGCTACTGACCATATGACTGGTAGCAGGATAAGGTCAACTTGCAAAAGCAATAACTGTGTTGCCCAGAGTTTCAGAGTATCAGGAACAGTAACAACTTCCCCTTTATATTTACTTGATTACAGAAATTGAGGTAGAGTAAGCTCTGACTACAGAGTAAGATCTAGATGTCAGTGGGTGTGAGTTCCTCTGTGTCAGACTAATAATAAAATCAGAAGACATAAACAATTATTGCAAGCACACTTACATAAAACAAAAAATGGGCCTTGAGATATTACCCCAGATGAAACTGATCAAGAACATCAGAGAGTTTGTCTCTATGGAAGAATTTAGTTAAAGCATTAATTTGATTCCAGGATATAGCATGATATTTTGAATTATTAACTGTTCTTCAATTTTTACTTTGGGACCCAAATAAATTAACTCAGTGGACCCATGAACATTATTTACTCTTTTTAACTTTAAAAATGATCTATGGTGTGGAAAATCTTTAATAATGAGTCCAATAAGTGTGTGTTATACATGGAGATTTATTGGGGGCAGAAGAAATAGTCCATGCTATGTATATATTAATTTAGCCCAAACCCAAAAAGTTGAGTTATTTCTTATCATGTACCACCCAAAAATGTACATAGGCTGGAAGACAATAACTGTATTGTAAAGCCCTACATTGGACCCACAGGAGTGGATATATAAAATGAGAGGCATAATTAATAATCACCTTGTCTGGCACGTCAATAGGGATGACCAGACTTGGAAAAATATCTAACTTAGAGCCAAATACGTGGTTCATGCTAAATCTCAGAAGAATCTGCCCAAGTAATTAGTCTAAAGTAAAGGTAGATCTGGTACATAAATCCAGGACTCTAATCCTCACAGGTGTTGTATGTATGGTACAGGCAGGTTATGCTGGTCATCATAGCCACATGTTCTGAGTGGTTTCTTGGCAAATCTGTCACATCACCAAAGTGTGAGCCTCTTGCATTGTCTTCTTCAGTTGTCCCTATGTCATGAGTTTTACCACTTATGTGGTTTTCAGTGGCTGTGGTATTTCATTGTACACAAATACAACCTCATTCCCATGTTGTTAGCTGCATTGGGCCATCCTACTTTCTTGTTTGGATGTCCTTTTATAGGGTTTGAGCCTTAGACAGATTAGTTGATTTGTCTTTTTGCCAATAAAATTCTGATAGAGTGTATTTATTTTTTGTAGGTAATTTTTAAATTTGAAGTGCCATGGTATAATTTTATTTGTGGGGGCAACCATACTCTCCCTTTGTATTTATTCAATTGAGTCTTGAAATATAGATGTGCTTTTTTTTTTGGTATTTTAGAGAAAGGTCTACAGGGTGTTCAGGGTCTCACTACTAGATCAGACTCGTGGTGATTCTCCTGTTTACAGCCTCCCAAGTGCTAGGATTACAGGCATGGGATTACAGGTGTGTGCCACCACTCCCAGTCTTAATTGCTGTCTCAGCGTGCCCTGGGGGTGGGGCTGGCATGACCTCCCTGCCCCTGTGCCTGCTTGCAGGCCCTTTAATCCACTGAGCTATTTGGCTGGCCCTTTTTTTTCTTAAAGCATGACCTTTAATTGTCTTATGTGTAGAGGATCCAGGCCTGTCTAATTGCCTATAATATTTATAACTAACTTAGCTGTCTATAATATTTTTCCCCTCTGAAAAGCTACCCCTAACAGCAGTTAGGGGAGAAGGGACATAGTTTCAGTGTGCTTTGAGCTGAGAAAGGTCTATGTAAGGGGAACTGCAATCAGGGACCTTCTCCAGAGAGCTAATCTAATTGGCCTCAGATAGAAATTATATTGTGGTTTAGCAGAATTCTCTTTATGAGGTTGATCTGGTAGATACCAGTAGAAGGAATCTAGCACATTTATCATTGGTTCCATTTGCACAACCACTTGGAGTTTGACAACGTCTAGGCAAGAATAAACAATTATTTTTCCTTTTTGTGCAGGGTCTCACTATGCAGCTCTAACTCATAGTGCTCCTGTTTTCAGCCTCCTCAGGGCTGAGATTATAGGCATGCCCCACCATAGCCTGACATGGTGGTGGGTTCAGTGGCCAGCTCAGCACACCCAGGGGCAAGGCCAGCACAACAAGTGGTGCCAGGGATCAAACCCTGGCCCCTGCACTTGCCTAAGCAGGCACTTAGTCCACTGAGCTATCTGGCCGGCCCTAAACAAAATTTTTAAGAGATTGAAACATTTAAAAATCAAGGTATGCACAGCAGAATGGAACAGTAGGTTGGGGAAAGAACCAAGTCTAAAGGGCTGGCTACATAGCTTAGCAGACTGAGCGCCTGCTTAGGCAAGCTCAGGGACTGGGGTTCGATGCCTGGTACTACATGCAGTGCTGGCCCTGCCCATGGACACGCTGAGCCCGCCACCAAGCCTGCCCCTGAGCCCCCTACTGAGTCCAGGCATGGTGGCCTACACCTGTATTCCCAGCACTGGGGGGCTGAAAACAGGAGGATCACTACGAGGCCAAACTGTACAGTGAGACTCTGTATCAAATACATAAATTTAAAAAAAAAAAAGGAAAGAAAGAAAGAGCCAAGTCTAGAAATTGTGCTTATGGAACCAGAATAGAGACTGTGACCCACTGGTTCTTAGACCCTTCTACTGATGGAGTCTGATATTTTGTCATAAGTCTCTCTACTTTTAGCTGAAAGAAGATGGAAGTTTGGGTTCTTTCTGTGAAGACAGCAGCGATCCAGGTGAAGGTTGGAGTGAACAGAATTGGCCGTATTGGATGCCTAGTCACCAGGGCTGCTATTAACTATGGCAAGGTGGATGTTGTGGCCATCAGTGACCCCGTCACAGACCTCAGCTACATAGTCTACATGTTCCAGTATGATTTCACCCACAGCAAGTTACATGACACTGTCAAAGCTGAGAATGGGAAGCTTGTCATCAATGGAAAGGACATCACTATCTTCCAAGAGTGAGATCCCACCAACATCAAGTGGGGTGATGCTTGCACTGAGTATGTGATGGAGTCAACTTGTGTCTTCACCACCATGGAGAAGGCCGGGGCTGACCTGAAGGGTGGTGCCAAAAGTGTCATTATCTCTGATCCTTCCACGATGCCCCCATGTTTGATGGGTGTGAATCACAAGAAGTAAGACAACTTGCTCAAGATTGTCAGCAATGCTTCCTGTACCACCAACTGCTTAGCCTTGCTGGCCAAAGTCATCCATGACAACTTCGGCATTGTGGAGGGACTCATGACCACAGTCCACACCATCACTGCCACCAAGAAGACTGTGGATATCTCCTCTGGGAAGCTGTGGTGTAACAGCCATGGAGCTGCCCAGAACATTATCCCTGCATCCACTGGTGCTGCCAAGGCTGTGGGCAAGGTCATCCTGGAGCTGAATGGGAAGCTCACAGGTATGGTCTTCCAAGTGCCCACTCTCAACATGTCAGTGGTGGATCTAACCTGCCACCTGGAGAAAGCAGCTAAATGCAATGACATCAAGAAGAAGGTGAAGCAGCCATCAGATGGTCCCTTCAAAGGCATCCTGGGCTACACCGAGGACCAGGTTGTGTCTTATGATTTCAACAGTGGCACCCACTTTTCCACCTTTGATGCTGGGACTGGCATCACCCTGAATGACCACTTCGTCAAGCTCATTTCCTGGTATGACAATGAATTTGGCTACAGCAACAGGGTGGTGGACCTCACGGTCCACATGGCCTCCAAGGAGGAAGTGCTCCCCCCACAGCCCAGTGAGATCAGAGGAACAGAGAGGTCATGCTGTAGAAGTCACTGCCCTACTCAGTCTCAACACTGAGAATCTCCCCCTTGCAGCTTCCATTCCAGGTCCCCTAGAAGGAGAGGGGCCTTGGGAGCCCTGGCTCACTGTCATTGCACACCATCAATAAAGCCCACTGTACCCAGGAAAAAAAAGAAGATGGAAGTTTGGTATTTTTGAAGGAAAATTCTAGGTAAAGACTTTAAAGATTTTTGTTTTGCCTTTATAGATTGTAGTTTTTTTCTTAATGATGTGTAAGAGTGGTCAGGTACTAGTGTCCCTGATACCTTGTCAGAAGGGGTCAGCTAGTGGATCTTCTTTTTATATGTAGCTTATTATTATTATTTTTTATGTAGCTTATTATTATGGTATTGTTTTTATATGTCTCTTGGTTATACTCTTTTGTTGAGTGTTCAAGACCAAGTTAAATTAAGGCTTGTGTTAATTAAAGTTAACCTCTTATTTCTATAAAGGGTAAGTTTCCTCAGGCATTATTTTCCAACCATGTACAGAGCCTCTCAGTTCTTCTGTCAGTTCAGATTTTGGATACCAGACTGTACAGTGCTAAACATGGGAACCACTGGCTGTGTTGGAAAAGAGCATATGCATTGTGCTCTAAAGTCAAGATAACCACAGCTGAGGCAATTAAGCGCAGTGATACTGACATGCCATATTCCAAATCAACAATGAAAATCTTTGTCTCTTAATTTAGTTTTGTACCAACCTTAGAGATAAAATAGTTGTCTTAATTGGCAAATTTCACTACTTGGAGAAGTCTTTGAACTGACTCTCAAGGTCCTGCTCAGTTTCCACACTTACCTCAGCATCCCCTTCCTTTTTTTTTTTAAATCAAATATGGACTGCCTGGAGAAGTTATTTGTCTCAACCTCTAGGCAATTACAAATTCTATCAGAGGGTTTATGATTTTCTTGGTGCCCTAAAAATCATGCCACTTATCTCTTTTATTTAAGCTGTTTTCTGTGTACTCATTTAGGGAGATCAAGTCTCCCTAAATTTAGGCCAAGACCCCAATTATAAGCTATCAGGATAGGTAATGGCCTTGCTTGAGTATGTTGTTTTGTATGAAAGCTTGGGAGATTTTTCCCTTTTGGTGACTCTCCTTTAGCACATTGGGCACGTATTGAGTCCTATTCCCTGGGGTTTATCAATCACCTTGTTCAGGATGTTGGGTGACTCACGAAAGTGGTGACTCTTGAAGAAAAGGTGCCCTCATGTTTTGGCTCCTCACTGACCTCAGAGGACCAGGGCCTTAGCCCAGTTTTTTTGCTCATTCTGGCCTCTAAACTTTAATTGCTGAACACCCAAAAGAGATCTGTGACAGGAGTATTTCATGGAAGAAGTGAGTTTAACTCTTAGAATTTTGCCTGAATATCGAGCACCTTAAAATATAAAATATAAACAGAGGACTGAGGACTATTATTTCTTATCAACCATAGTTGTTTTAGTAGTTTAATCCCTGTAGAATGTTAACAGACAACAGTTATATAGTTTTACAAAGAAAACTTGTGATCAAAAGCCACATGTAGTATTTCATTATGATGTCATGATGACATTATTTTTGTAGTAAATATCCTTCATGGTATAAACTAGCCTTTGTAGTCAAATCTCTCCCTCTAATCACTAGACATTAAATGACAGAACAAAACTGTCATGTAACTTGTTATCTTTAATGTGATGGCATCAAAGAAGTTTGTCTCATTGTGTGGACTCCTCAGTGCCTAAGTATCTCTAAGTATCTGTAGTGACACATATATACATCACAGAAACCTTTTTTAAAAAACTATTTGACAAGTAGTTTCTTTTATTATAAGCAGCTAAAGTAAAATAGAAAAACAGATATCTAAGTCCAGAAAAAGATTATCACCATAAGCAATCCCAGTTTTACATCTTAGAAGTCCTATACATTTGGAAGGCATGAATATATTAAGTACACCATGAGATTAACAATAATGAATGTCATGGATATATGAAAATCTTTGTCTCTTAATTTAGTTTTGTACCAAGAGCATCTTTAATGAAACCTTATTATTTTGCCTACAGAGTACTTAGCCTTTTGATGATGACCAATATAAATATATCACAATATGTTTAACTGTTTATTGGAATGTTTCTCATAAAGTTACAGAGAATAGTAGAGCCTTCTTACTGAACAAAGGCTGAAATAAAATATGTCATGGCAGTGGCTTCTGTAAGTCCCATCTAAGTCTCCCTTAGCCCAAAATATCTCTATGTAATTATCTTAATTTTTTGATGTCCTATGAAGATCAAATTATAATAATTAACATGTTTTTTGTACTGGAAATCTATCTCAGGACCTTGTGCTTGCTAGGAAGGTGCTGTGCCACTAAGCTATATCCCTGGGCCTTAACACATTATTTTTGACCAATGAAAGACTCTAAAGTTATTATCCACAACAAGTATTATATTTGTAAAACCAGTCCTGACATCATTTTAATCAGTTGACAACCTGAGTGGAAACATATCTTTAACTTTTAATGACTTTTTTTTTTTTTTTTTTTTTCGGAACTGGGGATTGAACTCAGACCCTTGCACTTATTCTACTGAGCCATCTCCCTGGCCCCTTAATGACATTTATCTGTAAGACAACTTAAGTTATAGACAAATGTTTTTAAAATTTAAAAGGACAAAAGAAAAATTGAGCTAGAAAAACCCCAACTGTTTAATGATTGTATAGATAACAAATAAGCACACATAAAACAATGTTTCTAAAACTAGAGTGAACTCAGATATATTTGGATAAATATAATTATAATAATTCTTTTATATAAGACTAGTCAGAACTTTTTGTTGCTCAATTCACAGAGATCTCATGTAATAAGAATTAGAAGGAATAAAAATTTTTTAATCTAG